GTAGTAGCAGCAGTAGTAGTGGTGATAGTGGTACTAATAGTAGGAGTAGTAGTAGCAGTAGCAGTAGCAGTAGCAGCAGTAGTAGTAGTAGTAGTAGTAGTAGTAATTGTAGTTCTTGAAGTCGTAGTGGTAGTAGTCGTAGCAGTAGAAGTAGTAGTCGTAGTAGTAGTCGTAGTAGTAGTTGTAGTAGTAGTAGTTGTAGTAGTAGTAGTAGTGCTAGTCGAAGTAGAAGTATACGTAGAAGAAGAAGTACAAGTATACGTATAAGTATATGTCTAATTGTCCGTATGAGTCGAAGTCGTAGCAGTAGTAGTAGTGGTAGTAGTAGTAGTAGTAGTGGTAGCAGTAGCAGTGGTAGCAGTAGTAGTAGTCGTAGTAGTAGTAGTAGTAGTAGTAGTAGTAGTAGTAGTAGTAGTAGTAGTCGTCGGGGTAGTAGTCGCACTGGTAATGGTAGTGCTAGTAGTAGTAGTAGAAGTAGTAGTAGTAGTAGTAGTAGTAGTAGTAGTAGCTGTAGTTGTAGTAGTATTGGTAGTGTTTGTGGTAGTGGTAGTGAAAGTGAAAGTGTTTGCAAGGCTAGCACAAGCAGCAGGAGAAGGTGGATGAGAAGGAGGAGTAAGAGCGGTAGTAGTAGTCGTAGTAGTAGTAGTAGTAGCAGTAGTAGTAGTAGATGTAGTAGGAGTAACGGTTGTTGTTGTAGTTCTAGGTAGTAGTAGTAGTAGTAGTAGTAGTAGTAGTAGTAGTAGCAGTAGTAGTAGTAGTAGTAGTAGTAGTAGTAGTAGTAGTGGTAGTAGACGGAGTAGTAGTGGCAGTAAAAGTGGAAGCAGACGTAAAGAGGAAAAGGACACGTATACGTATACGTATAAGTAGAAGTATACGTAGGAGTGAAATTCGAAGCAGTAGTAGCAGTAGTAGTAGTAGTAGTAGTAGTAGTAGTAGTAGTAGTAGTGGTAGTACTTGTAGTAGTAGTTGTAGTCGTAGTAGTAGTCGTCGCAGTGGTAGTGGTAGTGCTAGTGGAAGTGGTAGTCGTAGTTGTAGTCGTGGTGGTAGTGGTCGTGATAGGGGTAGTGGTAGTGGAATTGTTCGCATTATTCGTAAGGGCGGTAGACGTAGCAGGAGGCGGTGGAGGAGAAGGAGGAATAGGCGCGGTAGCACTAGAAGTAAGAATCGTAGTAGTAGTAGTAGTAGTCGCAGTATTCGTCGTCGTCGCCGTGGAAGTAGTAGTAGTAGTCGTAGCAGTAGGAGTCGTGGTCGTCGTCGTAGCCGGAGTCGGAGTCGTAGTAGTAGTACCAGTAGCAGTACGATCAGTAGTAGTAGTCGTAGTAGGTAGGTAGTAGTAGTAGTAGTAGTAGTAGTAGTAGTAGTAGTAGTAGTAGTAGTAGAAGTAGTAGTAGTAGTAGCAGTAGTAGTAGTAGTAGTAGTAGTAGTAGTGAAAGTAAAAGTAGTAGTAGTCGGAGGAGTAGGAGTAGGAGTAGGAGTAGGAGTAGTAGTAGTAGTAGTAGAAGTAGTAGTAGTGGTAGCCGTAGTAGTAGATGTCGTTGTTGTTACAAGGTACAAGTGGGAGTCGTAATAGTAGTAGTAGTAGGCGTAGTAGGAGTAGTAGTAGTAGTAGTAGTAGTAGTAGTTGTAGTTGGTGATGTTGCTGTTGCAGTAATAGTAGTGGTAGTAGCAGTGGTAGTCGCATTAGTAGTACGAGTCGTTGTCATCGTCGACATAGGATTAGTAGTAGTAGTGGCAGTAAAAGTAGTAGTATTAGTAGTAGTAGCAGTCGTAGTAGTGGCGGTAGTAGTAGTCGTAGTAGTAGTACGTAGTACGTAGTACGTAGTACGTAGTACGTAGTACGTAGTACGTAGTAGTATGATTCGTAGTCGTAGAAGTAGTAGTAGCAGTAGTAGCAGTCGTACTCGTAGTAGTAGTAGTAGTCGTAGTAGCCTTAGTAGTAGTAGTAGTAGTAGTAGTAGTAGTAGTAGTAGGTGTTGCTTTCTTGTTGTAGCAGGAGCAGGCGCAGTATTAGGATGACTAATAAGAGCAGCAGCAGCAGTAGTATTATTATTCGTTTAAGTCGTAGTAGTAGTAGTAGTAGCAGCAGCAGCAGTAGTAGTAGCCGCAGTCGTACGAGTACATATGTTTGTGGAGTGTTATTAGTAGTAGTAGTAGTAGTAGTAGTAGTAGCAGTAGTGGTACTACTATCAGTACTAGTAGTATTAGTAGTAGTAGTCGCCGTCGTAGTATTAGCCGTTGTAGCCGTAGTAGTAGTAGTAGTAGTAGTAGTAGTAGTAGTAGTAGAAATCGTACCAGTCGTAGCAGTAGTAGTAGTAGTAGTAGTAGTAGTAGGAGCAGTAGTAGTAGTAGTAGTAGTAGTAGTAGTAGTCGTAGTAGTAGTAGTAGTAGTAGTAGTAGTAGACGTAGTAGTAGTAGTAGTAGTAGTAGTAGTAGTAGTAGTAGCAGTAGTCGCAGTAGTAGTAGTAGTAGTAGAAGTCGTAGTAGTAGTAGCAGTAGTAGTAGTAGTGGCGGTAGTAGTAGTAGTAGTACGTACGTACGTACGTAGTACCTAGTACGTAGTACGTAGTACGTAGTACGTAGTACGTAGTACGTAGTACGTAGTACGTAGTATTGGTAGTAGTAGAAGTATCAGTGGCAGTAGTAGCAGTCGTACTCGTAGTAGTAGTAATAGTCGATGTATTAGTAGTAGTAGTAGTAGTAGTAGTAGTAGTAGTCGTAGTAGTCGTAGTAGTAGTAGTAGTAGTAGTAGTAGTAGGTGTTGCTTTCTTGGTGTAGCAGGAGCAGGCGCAGTATTAGGATGACTGATAAGAGCAGCAACAGCAGCATTATTAGTATTAGTATTAGTAGTAGTAGTAGTAGCAGCAGCAGTAGTAGTAGTAGTAGTAGTAGTAGCCGTAGTAGTAGTAGTAGTAGTAGTCGTAGTAGTAGTAGTAGTAGTTGCTGTAGTAGTAGTAGTAGTAGTAGTAGTAGTAGTAGTAGCAGTAGTAGTAGTAGTAGTAGTAGTAGTAGTACGAATGCAGATGTTTGTGGAGTAGTATTCGTAGTAGTCGTAGTAGTAGTCGTAGTAGTAGTAGTAGTAGTAGTAGTAGTAGTAGTAGTAGTAGTAGTAGTAGTAGAACTAGTAGTAGTAGTAGTAGTAGTCGTAGCAGTAATAGTAGTAGTCGTCGTCGTAGTATTAGCCGTAGTAGTCGCAGCAGTAGTAGTCGTCGTAGTAGTAGTAGTAGTAGTAGTAGTAGTAGTAGCAGTAGTAGTAGTAGTCGTAGTAGTCGTACTTGTAGTAGGAGTAGTGGTAGTAGATGTCGTCGTAGTAGTAGTAGTCGTCGTAGTAGTAGTAGTAGTACTACTACTACTACTAGTACTAGTACTAGTAGTAGTAGTAGTAGTAGTAGTAGTAGTAGTAGTAGTAGTAGTAGTAGTAGTAGTAGTAGTAGTAGTAGTCGTAGTAGTCGTCGTCGTCGTCGTAGTATTAGTCGTAGTAGTCGTAGTAGTAGTAGTAGTAGTAGTAGTAGTAGTAGTAGTTGTAGTTGTAGTAGTAGTAGTAATATTAGTATTCGTAGTAGTCGTAGTAGTAGTCGTAGTATGAGGAGGAGGAGGAGGAGGATGCGGAGGAGGAGGAGGAGGAGCCGCCACCGTCCGTCGCAGCACTCTGTGCGGCGACGCTTCGAGCACCGTCCAGAAGGTTTGAACATGTGTCACTTGTCGTCTCTGTTGTTTACGGAGCTAGCATCGGCCCTGCCTCGGCCGTCTTGGGGCTGCATTGGCGCTCCTGTCGGGCAGTCTGAGGCCTTGGCCTTCTTGGGGCACTTTTTGGTTGTCTTGGGACCCTCTCGACCGTTGTGGTCCTCTTGGGCTGTCCTGGGCCGCTCTTGGGTTGTCTTGGGGCCCCGTTGGGATGATCCCCAGCCGAAGCCATTCCTTTTTAGTTGTTGTTGATTTTGGCATCCCTGGAGGGCCTCTTGGCTTTGCGGTGTGGCCACCTTGTTGTCCCATTCTGGCGGCCTGGGTGGTCTTCCTGGGCCATCCTCTGGAGTGCTTGAAACGCTGTTGAAGGGCTCCAGGCGCCGCGGGCGCTCAGGGAGCCTCGGGAGAAAGTGGGCGATGCACTCAGAATGTGTGCGATGCATGGGGGCGGGTGCCCTGATTTGGTATCGTGCCACGCCTCAACGTGCCAGGGGCCACGCTGCCGGACCTTGGATTTGAACCAAGTCTCGGGGAGTTGAACAACGATGTACAAGCAATACAGGGCAGACCCCTTCTCGCCTCCCCGTGTTCCTGAGGCACGCCTCGCCCGTGCACTCCCGAACCATCGCATGGAAATTGCCCCTCGTTAGAGCCACAGTGGCCATGGAGGAGGAGGAGGCGGAGGAGGAGGAGGAGGAGGAGGGAGGAGGGGGAGGAGGAGGAGGAGGAGGAGGAGGCGGGAGGAGGAGGAGGAGGAGGAGGAGGAGGAGGAGGCGGGAGGAGGAGGAGGAGGAGGAGGAGGAGGAGGAGGAGGAAGAGGGCGGTGGAGGAGTGAGGAGGATGAGGAGGAGGAGGAGGAGGAGGGGCAGACGTACACGTTGTCCGCGGAATCGCCTGACGCGATACGCAGCGATCGCCTGCGTGATGAGACGAGATCAGCGCAAAGGTGTGGAGCCTCGGGGTGATAGCGTTCTACCTTCACGCGAAGCTCCCCTGCTTCAGCCAGGCATCGGGGGCCAGAACACTGCGCAGGCATGACCGTCGGACGTCCGCGGGCAGCAGGTGTACCAACTGGCTCGGCCCCCCTCGCCACCCCGAGCGGAGTCTTCGACGCCGCCCCTGGCACGCAAGGGGAAGTCGGCCACGCGCAGAAAGGGGGGCAGGGGGAGGGGGGAAGGCTTTTTGGAAGGAGGCTGCCTCTTCGAAGGCGCGGGCCTTTTTCTATAAATGTAAGGCCCGCGCCTTCTGAGAAGAAGCCGCCTTCTAAGAAGCCTTCCCCCCTCCCCCTGCCCCCCCTGCCCCCCTCTGCGCGCCGCCAAGGAAAGGTGTGCGAATGGGGTCTTGCGCTGGCGGAAGTCGTCTATTCGCAGTCCCGCAAGGCTTGTGCTTCTACAGTTTATGACCACACTCCAAGGCAGGAGGCGTCGTGAATTTCAGCGACATCGGCGGCCCAGACAACGAGCAGTTGTGGCAGTTGATCGACAATTATCGGGCCTACTACCCCGAATTTCCCGAAGGCCTTAGGCGATCCATCTCCCTGGCACTCATCCTCCTCCTGCTCCTGCTCTTGCTCCTGCTCCTCCTCTTCCTCCTCCTCCTCCTCCTCCTCCTCCTCCTCTTACTCCTCCTCCCACTGCTTCTCCTGATCCTCCTCCTCCTCGTCCTCCTCGCCATCCTGTCACTGATGCTACTACTACTATTACTACTACTGCTACTACTACTACTACTACTGCTACTACTACTACTACTACTACTACTACTGCTACTACTACTAATACTACTACTACTACTACTACTACTACTACTACTACTACTACTACTACTACTACTACTACTACTACTACTACTACTGCTAATAGTACCTACTACTACTGCTACTACTACTACTACTACTACTACTACTACTACTACTACTACTGCTACTGCTACTACTACTACTACTACTACTACACCTACTACTTACTACCTACTACATACTGCTACTACGACTACGACTATTACCATTACTACTACTACTACTAGTACGACTAGTACTACTACCACTTCTACTACTACTACTACTACTACTACTACGACTACTACCACTACTACTTCTACTACTACTACTACTGCTACTACTACGACTACTACTACTACCACGACTACTACTAGTACGATTACTACTACTACTTCTATTACTACTACTACTACCACTACTACTACTGATCCTACGACTACTACTTTTATTACTACGACTACTACTACTACTACGGCGACCACAACCGATACTACTACTACTACTACTACTACTACTACTACTACTACTACTACTATTACTAGTATTACTACCAGTACTACTACTATTATTTGTACGACTACTACTTCTACTACTACTACTACTACTACTACTACTAGTACTACTAGTACTACGACTCTTATTTTTACGACTACTACTTCTATTACTACTACTACTACTACTACTACCACCACTACTACTACTACTACTACTACTACTACGTCTACTGCTACTGCAACCACTACTACTACTACTACTACTACTACTACTACTACTACTACTACTACTACTACGACTACTGCTAGTACCACTAGTACGACTACCAGCGATTAACTACTAGCTACCCACTACTAGCCTCGGCTACTAGCCACTACTACTACTAGTACTGTTACTACGGCTACGGCTACTACGACTTCTACGACGACTGCTACTACTACCTACTACTACTACTACTACTACTACAACTACTACTACTACTACTGCTACTACTACTACTGCTACTTCTACTACTACTACTACGACTAGAGCAGCTACCTACTACTACTACGACTACTACTACTACTATTACTACTACTACTACTAGTGCTAGTGCAACCCCTGCTACTACTTATTCTACAACTCCTATTATTAGTGCTACGACTGCTACTGCTAAAACTATGACGGCTACGATTACCCGTACTATGGCCACTCGTACTATTACTATCACTATCAATATTGCGATTGCTAAGGCTACTGCTACTACTAGTACTAGTACTAGTACTAGTACTACTACTACTACTACTACTGCTACGGCTACGAGTACGACTACTACGACTACTACGACTACTACGAGTCCAACCACTACGACCACTACTACGACTACTACGACTACGACTACGACTACTACTATTACTACTACTACTACGACTATTACTACTACTACTACTACTACTACTACTACTACTACTACTACTACTAGTGGTACTACTACGACTACTACCACTACTGTTACTACATATTCTTTGTTTGTTACTACTACTACTCGTACTACTACTACTACTACTACTACTACTACTACTACTACGACTACTACTACTACTACTAATACTACTACTACGACCCCTATCACTACTACTACTACTACCACTACTACTACTACTACTACTACTACTACTACTACTACGACGACTACGTCTACGAAGCCTAGGACTCCGACTCCAACTACGATTACGACTACTCCTACTACTACCAGTACTACTAGTACCATTACTACTACTACTATTACTACTACTAGTATTAGTACTAGTACTACTACTACTACTACTGTCACTACTACTACTACTACTATTACTACTACTACTACTACGATTACTGTTACTACTACGATTATTATTATTATCATTATTACCGCTGAGACGACTACTACTACCACGCCGACGCCTACTACTACTACTACTACTACTACTACTACTATTGCTACTACTACTACTACTACTACTGCGACTACTACTATTGCTACTACTGCTACTGCTACTACTACTACTACTGCTACGACGACTACCCTG